CTGGACCCTCTCCAGGTTATCCGCATCCCTCTTGAAGTGCGGTACCCAGAATTGCACGCAGTACTCCAACTGCGGTCTGACCAGCGCCCGATAGAGGGGAAGTATCACCTCTTTAGATCTATTCGTCATGCATCTGCTGATGCATGATAAAGTGCCATTGGCTTTTCTGATGGTTTCGTCACACTGCCGACTCATGTTCATCTTGGAGTCCACTAGGACTCCAAGATCCCTTTCCACTTCCGTGCCACCCAGCAGGTCATTTCCTAGGCAGTAGGTGTGCTGGACATTTTTCCTCCCTAGGTGCAGCACTTTGCATTTCTCCTTGTTGAACTGCATTCTGTTGTTTTCCGCCCACTTGTCCAACCTATCCAGGTCTGCTTGCAGCTGTTCCCTGCCCTCCGGCGTGTCCACTTCTCCCCTTGTCTTAGACAAGCGTAACTCCAACTAAGGGTAATAAAGCACCCTCACCAGATATCAGTTCAGCGTAGTTCTTCCTTGGGGTACCTGTGCGGTTAACTCCTCCTCCCCTCCCATTTGTTTGAAGATCAGAAGTCGTGGCAGGAGAGAATCCCAGGGATAAAGGGGTACCCATAGCGGACACGCTGACAATATGGATAAAAAAATGCAACTATGTGAGGGCTGCCACCTTGGCTGACAAACAGGAGATTTAACTAGTGACCACCAGTGCTAAAAACTTAAGCTGCTCTAGGATGGGCTAAAGAGCCACAGGTATTCACAGATGCTGTCCATCTCACACCTTGTAGAAAGGCATAAATAAGGTCCTGTAACACACGAATCATACTGACATGTATGACTATATTACATTAAGAAACATTCCTATTTTAAGTGACTGAACTGATAAGCAGTTTTTATCATTCTCCTGTTCAACACTATATGACAGACTTCAGTGCATCAGCCATTTCCTCATGGGAGCCTTGTTTTCTTTTCCACAATTGAAGTACCAGTTTTCCCATAACAGAATACATCTATCTATATAAGAATCTCCTAGTGCTCCCTGACAAAGATCTGATACATTTTTTGGAACTAGTCACCTAACTGCCAGGTTGAATACAACAGGAAACTCATGGTGGAACAAAATAAGAATAAAGAATATCTGTTTTTTCCAGGGACTGCCTCTGTGAATATATGTAAAGGTGGGTTTTAGTGTTTTTAAAACTGTTGTTTTCAGGCTGTGCTGAGAAGTTAAGTCTGATTCTTTCATTTTGCACAGATTAAGATAGTTTGTAGGGGTGTACCGATAGAGATTTTTGGTGCCAATACTGATAGCTGATTTTTAAGGAGGTATATTGGCTGATACCAATCTGATTTTTGATGCAGCTTGTAAGTCTGTTGTGGTGGAAGGGGAGCAGGAAGGAAAGGGAATGGTGGGGGGGTGCAGATCAATGCCCCTCATGGTGAGGGAGGGAGTGGGGCAGGGATTGAGGAGGTGCTGCCCAACCAGGGTGGGGCAGGGTGCAGGACAGAGCCATGGCTCATCCAGGGGGTACGGGGGGGGTGGCTTCCACCACTGTGCGCACCCCAGGAGGGCACATGGGGAGGTGTGTGCCCCCCGGATCTGTGCAAGGCGGGGCAGGGCAGGCTGCAGCTGCAGGCTGGGGCCAGGGCTGTGCTGGGCTCTTCCTGGCAGGGGGCTGGGTCAGGCTGCACTCAGGGCGGGTGGTGGCAGTGCTGGGAGAGAGCTATGAGGCAGGCTGCAACCCCCCCAAAATTCACTGTAGCTCCCCCATGGCCCCTCTCCCACCACTGCCCGCCCTGAGCACAGCCTGGCCCTTCCCTGCCCAGTGCAGATCCAGGGGAACCTCTTTAATCGGTGCCCCTGTGCCCTTCTGCATGAGTGGTGTGCAGCAGTTTTCAGTGGTCCCCCCCCCTTCTCACATCCCCCAGATGAGCCTTGGCTCCATCCTGTGCCCACCCCATCCTGGCTGAGCAGCACTTGCCCCAGTCCCAGCCTCACTCCCTCCCTCACCACAGGGGCCTTGATCTGCCCCCACACCCGTTCTCTCCCCCCTCCTCTTCCACCACACCAGACTTACCAGCTGGATGCAGCTCTCCATGCTGCCAGCTGTGCTCCTCACTGCCTACATGCTGCACTGTAGCTGTGTGCATGCATGGGCCATTTATCGGCCAAAGTATCAGCCACATCATGCTGATTTCTGATACAGACAATTTTTATATCGGTGCCAATCTGATATCAGACCAATGTATTGGTGTATCTCTAAATAGTTTCAATTTTCAAAATATGCTCTTTTTTGTTTTGGACTCTTGCAGCAATTTAGGCTGCATTATATCTTATTCAGAGTTGAAATTAGTTACCTTTTTTAAAAGTATTATTCCTTCTGGTTTTTCCTATGAACTAAGATATATGATTTTAGTGAGTATCAAAGAAAGGTGTTAAATGGAGAGACCAAGAGAATAAGGTATTACATCATAAATGACAGCAGCCAGTTTCCCTGCCTTTCTCCCCATTTCCATGATGACCTAGCAGGACCACTTCCAACAATCAGAAGATAGCTGAATTTCTATGCCTATTCAGTCCTCAGCTACTTGGATGGGACTACCAGTGGTGCTACTGCTGCCAATTGGAATAGTCCTGGTGTGTTGGGATGGCACTCAATTAGGTGCTTTGGTAAATCAAACTAGGTCCACCTCTCTGAATCTTTAGTCTCTTAAATACCTCTGGTCCTTGCTTCTTTCTTAGACATTTACTAGATATTCAGTTGGTCTAACTAGATGTTAATGAACTTACAACATCTGATGATTGTCCATGCTCACAGATCCCCTATGGCAGCACTGCCCGTTCTTTCCCAGTGCCTGTTCTGGGAGTGAGGCATAGATGCACCTGTGCTTTCTGCCAGAAGCTGCAGCTGTTTAACATCTAGTAACTCTTGCTTTGCCATGTACACCCTGCCCGTGTAGCTGAGGTAGTCTATATTCCTGTAGCCTCCTTGTGGCATCAGCTGTCTACTGGCAGAAAGTTTGCAATGAAAATCAGCCCTTAAAAATGATTCTCAAAAATCAATGTCTATTTAACAAAGGGTTCAAACAGAAATGCAGATTTATGACTTGAGAAGTAGAAAGGTAGAGGGGGAGCACCGATCATTTTCAATATATTGGATGTTTTCATGGACCTTCCTTTTCCGTGATTACCTTCATACTAAAGGCCACCTTCAGCTAGTCATACTCAAAAGACATTTATGTAGTGTCTCTATTCAGAGCCTTATCTTATGGCTCCAGTAGCTTTCACACTGTGAATTGTAATGCTAGATGTATCTGATTTCAAGCGCCATCTGGAGCCTCTACATTAGCCCAATACCAGAATATTAGTTCAGTAAAAAGGGAAGTAATAAGAAAATATCTAGGACTTCATTGGTGAGATTAGCTTCTAATGGAGCCTGCTTCCTTTATATAACAGTCAACTTGTGTTTATGAACAAGACCTACTACCCTAATATGCACACTTCAGTGAGATGAAAGAGAAAACAAAACATCAGGGCTTTTTTCTTTTGAACAAAAGATGTATGATACACGGCATACCACAGTATTTGTTGTTTTGTCTACATTACTGCTGTGTATTGCTCAAAGGTGGTGAATTTATAGCTGGTGCTGAGTATGAAAACATTTTGTGTGTGATTTTGTTCCACTCTGCTTTCAAAAAAGAGCCTATTTGGTAAATAATTGCTTTCAGTTATGCAATTAGCTTTATTCCACTCTGTGGAGGGACAGTGGCAGTTTAGTGTTTCTAAATGCACACTGCATTCCCGAGCAAGGTCATACCCAACCTTTTGAAATCTGTATGTGCGCGCGCGCGCACACACACACACACACACACACACTGATTGATCAGTCATCTCCTTGCAGAGTGTTCATATTTTCGCAGAAGCAATGTACCTATATGAAATGTGCTAAATTCCATGCTGTGTCTTGCAACATGGAGTGATTTCTCATGCTTGCTATCTGGAAGGAGGGACTGAAGGAGCCATGGCATAAGTTAGAGCATCCTATGGGCCATCCTCATAACTGCCTGTGCAGCTCGATAACAAGAAGTATTAAGAGTGTGCACCCTCTAGCCCTGCCCCATAGATTAGGGCTTGCAATATACAATATATATGTAAGATGCATTTGCACTGTTCTTGCATCAGGAGAATTCTCCTCAAACCAGCTGTGGCACAAGGAATCTGGCCCAATATGCTTACTAGCAGAGCAGTACACTTACACATTAGGTTAAGCTTGAATGCAGCAATGCTTCCAGGACAATGTTTTCAATACGTAAAAATATCTTTGAAATACCTTAAAATAGATTACATATCCCCATTGTTAACAATGCTCATGCCTATTTACTTTTAAGTTTTTTGAATGGATCATCCCCGCAGTTCCCAAACCTAGTTCTTTTGATTTGGTGAAGACAAAAATGTCCATTATCTACAACTTCCCTTGGTGCTTACAGAGAACAATTTTGGCTGTTATGAATGCTTGCAGTTTACTAAGAACTTCTTTTGATGAGGCTGGGAAATTGGATTGACTGAAAATCTGAACCACCTATGTTCAATGACAAAGCTAAACATGGAAGAAAAAGCTGGAGATCATGGGACTGCACATGTTTTGGATGACCTATTTTTTGTACATTAATTCAATTGTTTTTAACTTTGTCTACTCTTTCCTGAGTAAGGTAGTGACTGCACTCTACAAACTAAAGCACTCCATGCTTTTTGATTCTTTACCAGTGCATTAATAACATGCTCAAAAGAGCCAAAAGCTGTGGAGGCATTAGGTTTTTACATTAGTCACAGATATAAATAGTAATTGTGTTGTGGAAGATTGCCAGAGGTTACCCTAAGTATTGTTCCAATGCTGTGGGTGGAACACTCTTTTATTTCAACGTAGAGTTCTAGTACACTTGAATAAACCTTGGCTGCTTCCGTGGTGCATACCTCTATTCCAATATAGGGAAACCAGTTAAATGTATGACAAAATATTACGTACCGTAAGCCATAAAGGACGGTCCCATCCGGATGTAGCCGAATCATTCGATTTTTCACTGTTACCCCGTGAACAAATGACTTCTTGTCATTTTGGAAATACGTGTCTGGAACCCAGAGCTGATCAGCTACTCTGTTGTCCAAAGTTAGATTCAAAGGAATTCCAGAGTAAGAAAGCCTTTTATCTCTCCAGGACTGCTGGAAATACATAGTGAGCGTGTAATCCTGGGAGCAAAAAAAGAGAAAAGGTATATTGGTAGTTGGGTATTTGGCTCAATGTTTAAATTATTGATAGCTTGGTTTTGATACCTGTAAGTTGAATAATTAAGTTACTATCAATCACACACTTGGAAGGTTAAGAATCACTGAAAATGTGACTAAATAAAACAGCTGCGGATTACTTGTGGCAAGCTGAAAAAGTCTTGTAGCCTCTGAAAACCCAAGTAGGCATAAAAGTCTCCTCATATATCGAACAGCATATACATGGCACTCGTGCATTAGGGAATGGCATTAAAGAATTTTAGACTGCAGACTATATACTACATATTTCTTGATACTTTTCAAGACAGCTGCATGTGGATGACATCAGTAAGTAGTTGTACAAAGCAACTGGAGGAGCCTCCTTTGATATGTTCTCTTGGCTTCCCTCTGAAAAATCCTCACACCTACCAAAGACAGTGTGTTCTCCATAATGAATATTGTCTCAAGGCACAAATTCATGTACTTTTCAAGCCCTGGTTGTTAATGCCAGCAATCCAAACCCACCATTGTAGCCATGTAGGAGTTGTGTCCTCTATGATAACAAAGGAATTTCTGGACCTGAATATTGAATATCTTTGTATAAGGAACTGATATGCTGAATATTAGGAGTGTGCAAAGCTTTGGGTGATGATATGATTCAGAGGAGATTTGGCCCGATTTGGTGGCTGAATCTCCAAATCCAAATCAAATCAGGGGACCAATTAAAAGGTTCGAATTGATTCAAAGATCTCTGAATCTTCAGAAAAGATTTGGAGAGCTTTGATGATTCAGACAGTCCCTGGTGGCTGCATCAGGGAGCTGCAGCCAGACTAGGAGCTGGTAAGTAGAGGGCGGGGAAGGGGACCATGGGGGGGGG